CCGTGTGTACACGTGGTAAGTGAATGAGACCCAATGTCAGCCTTTTTTAAAGATTTGCAAATTTCAATTTCACCAAACTGAATAATTTTTTTTTTCTTTTTTTTTTTTCAGATTGTTGATATTACGAATTGAGAATTTTAAATGAGTAAAAAAAAATAGAGCTTAATAAAACATTTTGTATAAATCTTAATGGACCATTTAGCTTATGTGATTCGTATTCATAAATTCAAATCCATTCAGATTTATACAAAATGTTTTATTGAGCTCTAGTTTTTTTAAACTAAAATTCTTAATCTATAATATGAATAATATGTAAGAATTATTCAATTCAATTTAATGGAATTTGACTATACAATTGAAATCCGCAAATCTTAGTGTATTAAAAATACCTTCCAATGGCTTATAAAATCTTCGAATGACCTACACAACCTTCAAATGACCTGTGCAATATACAACCTTTAAAAGGTATGAATTATGCATCTTCCTAAAGTCTAAAAATGAAATTGAATTCTTTCAGTTGGATGTGGTGTGACTGTAAATTGAATCCATAACTCTAATGAGCAAAGCATCTGTGTCTGAACGAGTGACAGCCTGTGAGGAGGCCAGGGGTTTTATCTAAATTATAGTTTGAGTCACGTCACTCATTCTCATTTGAGATGATAGAGGATCTGCAGTTCCTTCGCCTCAGTGCTCATATTGCAGGCTCGCGATAGAAGCTGATAGTGGAGTGCATGATGAGATGTGCTGATGTTAATTGTGTCCTGTCACTGCTGCTGTAAATCCTGCAGCACACACACACACACACACATTTCTCCTGTGTGGAGACTAGCATGCATCAGGTGTCCTTGTGGCCCAGGTATGGCACGACTCAGACATAATGACTTCAATTAAAGCTTGCCTTTAGAAAAAGTGCTTAGCAACACTACTGAGAAAGCTAGGGGGCGATATCTTTATGAACACCACCATTCAAAAGTGTCGGGTCAAAGATTTTTGAATGTTTTTGAAACAACTCTCGTACAATGTAAATTATGAAGCTGAATTTTCAGCATCATTACTCCAGTCTTCATTGTCACATGATCCTTCAGAAATCTTTCTAATGTGTTGATTTATTCTGATTATTTTTTAATGAATAGACAGTAAAAAGAACAGCATTTATTTGTAACATTATAAATGTCTTTACTGTCAATTTAATGCATCTTTCCTATATAAAAATAAAACTGACCTCAAAATTTTGAACATTATCTCAGATGATATAATATATTATTACGATCAGAGCGGTATTAATCTGGCACAAAATACTTAGGGATCTCAATAAGGGTGACAGTATTAAACTTGAATGCATAATTTTATGCTAATTACAACTAATCAAACTAGAAAGCACTATAAATTCTGGAACTGAGTTGAAAAATGTGATGACCAACAAGGTTTACCTAAATATTGTGCTAAAAAAAAAAGATTAGCTTCACATGAATCGGTGATGGATTTTAGTGAATCTGTTTGTTCAGACAAAAAGTTATTATACAATGAGAATCACCTAATTTACACAAACTGTTTCACAAAAAGATACCCACTTGATTTGCATGAAGTGAACCAAATTTGCATGAGTGATTTGCTAAACTGAAGAGAAATTCAGATTTCTCAACACTACATACAAAAAAGTTCCACAGTGAGTTTGTGCCCCTATTGGTTTTTTAATATGACCTGTGTGATATAGCTGTTTGTGAATGTAAAAGGTCTGCAAAGTTGCATGATAAATAAAATTAACTAAATAAAAGAAAGAATCGATTCTGCACTGACGAAATGAGTCGTTAGTTATTCCAGTCTCACTTCCTGTTATAAAACTACGTTACAATGCAACTCATTTGCATAAAGCCAGTCTATGGTCTTCGTTGGCTGTCCGTGAACAGCGTCTGCTTTGACCTCAAACACTGTAGTTGTAGCTGAGACTGGAAGAGTTTGGTTCGTGTTGTTCATGTCGAGAAGACGCTGTTTTCAGCGCTGAGAATCCACTGTGATGCACTTCAAAAGAACGAGGACTCGTGCGGGAATCGATATGGAAAAATCTGACGCCATCGTGTTTTTTGACCTCGGATGCATGTAAACCTATTGTAGGAGGCTCTAAAACAAAACCAAGAACCTTTAAAAGAGCATAATAGATCAATCACAACAGACTAGACCGTCTGACCAATCAGAGCAGAGTAAACTCTCAGAAAGGAGTGGTTTAGAGAGACTGAATCTTTGAGAAATGCGGTGATGTACAATGTATATTATGAGAAAATCAAAGTCTTTTTTGACCTTGGATGCATGTGACCCTATTGTAGGAGACTCCAAAACCAAATCAAGAGCCTTTAAAATAGCATACCAGGGGATCTTTGAATTAACAGGTCGCCGCTGAGGCCACTGCGTCTTCACTGCTCATCACACCAGAAAGACATTTTTCATCAATAATTTAGAAACGCATACTCTCTCTCTCTCTCTGCCTCAATTTGAAATTCCTTGCGCTTAGCATTATATCTAGAGGGGGAAAGTCTTGAGTATATGAGAAGACAAACAGACAGGGAGAGAAAGACATTCACAAACAAATATAAGCACTCTCTTTTGCATGGCAGAAAGAACTGAGCCGAGAGGCTGACATGTCTAAGCTTCACTATCTGCGCTAAGCTTCGAATCCAAGTACATAAGGCACTAATACGCCAGAGAAAGCCACTCCCAGGGCCTTCGAAGAACTGAGTCAGCCTGTGTCCCTTCAGCTGGATCTGGGTGCATTACCAATACAAGCTGGCACCAACTATTTTGCACTTTAGTAGTAATGCTTTGAACAGCGCAAGTGCCTTTCTTTTTTATTCCCTTTTCGCTTTTTTAATTTTTAGATTAAGCACAAGTCTAAAGGCCGCCTTATCCCCGCTCTGGGCAGTGTTAAAGTAAGAAATGGACAAATATATTTCTAACTGCCATGGCCCAATAAAACTGTCAGAGCCAACGCTAATCTGCATGAATATATCACTCTTCAATATTTTACTCTTGTAAAATAATAAAAGAAAGAGAGATAGAGAGGAAATGAGAAAGGATTTAGCGCTTACAACTCAAAAACGCTCTTGCAAGACCTCATATTACCCCTGACGACTTCCCTAACTATTCGCATTCAGCTTTGCGGTCAAAACTAATGAAGAAACTCTGACTAATGACAATAGAAGGTAGGTTCCCCGAAGAGCTATTCTGATCCAGGATTCACTTTAAGTGACTCATATATTAAGAGCAATTAAGCAGAAATTGACCTTTAGCCTGTAGTTGGTGCACTGTGGGATTCGGTGATGCTTTTTTCTATAGAAGATCAATGACGCAATTCACCCAGATTTAACCATTAACTAAAAGTTAACTATCTTGACCAGGCTGCTAAAAGTGACCCCACATTAATGTTGTAGTTGAAAACATTGCCTTGCCAGTTAATGCGCAAGCCATAATATACCGGGTTCAAATCAATATATTTCCTAGCCTGGGAAAACCAAGACAACTTCCGGCAAATTTAGATTTGCTCTGAAAGTTAGTCTGGCAAAGAGCTCATTCAAGCCCATTTCCAATCCGCCGAAATCGCGGCACCAATCAGAAACGTTGGGGCGGGCTTTACACGATGACGACAGCGCTGGGATTTTGAAGCAGATTTTGTAGCCTACATTACAAAGATGGATGCCGCCGTCGAACATCACTCGTTCCAATCAGCTATTTGCCAATCTGTTTTAAGCGATTTGAACGTTTCCTTTTTGTTAAAAACCGAGCAAAGAACAACACTCGGAGATGTTTCTGCCGCTCTGCATACGTCATCTCCTTCATCGCTCTGATTGGGTTTAGGTCTATCCGCGACGTCCGTTGGTGACGCCCCTCTGGAAATGATTTGTCTATGAAGCTTTGCCAGACCATAACTCAGTTACAACTGAGAATGGTCTGGTTTTAACCAGGCTATATATTTCCCCATCTCATTCCCTCAATAATTTCTAGTCATCGCCCGTACTATCCACAGTGGTACATTTTCCCTCAAATGAATCAGTGAATTGGTTCGTTTAGACAAATGTTATGCTTGTTGCACATGAATTGATTCACACATCATGAACCACTTGATTCACATGAACAGTCCCAATGAACTGATTCAAACATCACAAACCACTTGATTCACATGAACAGTCCCAATGAACTGATTCACTAAACTGAATCCCAAAGATGTGTGCACACATGATTTAAAAAAGTACATAAATACATAAATAAGAGTATAGCCTGATCGTAGATAATCACAAAGGATGTGTTCACACTTGGCATGTTTGGTTGGATTAAAACGAACCCTGGTGCGATTGCTCTGTTAGTGCGGTTCATTTCAATAACTGTGAGCGTTTCCATCCGAACCCTGGTGCCACTAAACACTAAAAGATGAGTCTCGGTCCTCTTCCAAACGAACTCTGAGAACTCGCGAAGAGCTTATAAAATGTGTAAAGGAGTCAAAATAGCGACAAGAATCATTTCGTCACACACACTTCTGATGCCTGTACCGAACTGTGATGGGCAACATCATGACTATGATGAGAAAAACAGGTGTGCTTGAGCATTCTGGTCTTTTAGGGTCACATCTTGTGACATCACATCCTGTTTTTGGTTCGTTTACACGTCTTTGGTCCGTGTTGCGTTCATATTTCAGTCGAACCGCCCAGAATTCGTTTGAAAGTGGACTGAGACTCATCTTTTCAGCGTCTCGGTCCTCTTGTTTGGTGGCAGCAGGGTTCAGATATCAGCGTTCACACTTATTCAAATGAGCCGCACAAACAGAGCAATCGCACCAAAGTTCGTTTTAATCTAACCAAACATGACAAGTGTGAACACACCCGAAATGTATTATTTACAACCAAGATAACCGAACTACAAGTGTGAACACACCCTAAATGATCCTCCTTAAATGTCCTCGTGTGCTTCCAGACCTGCATGAAGAGTTAATGGGGAAGAAATTGAAGTGCACTTACCCAGAACTCCCAGCCTATAGTTCATGGTGACTACAATGACATTGCCATATGCCGCAAGCACGCTGGCATCAAACATGTTTCCGGTTCCTTCCATATAAGAGCCACCGTGAATAAACAGCATGACAGGTTTCTTCCTGCGGTCACGGATGTCTGAAAAAAAGTCACAACGAGGAGAAAGACAGGGTTGTGTAAGCGAAAACTACAGAAAGATTTGAGTCACTTTGTGAAGCTACATGATTTTTATCTGAGATCCTTTGTTTGAGAGTAAATAGCTGGTCGTTAGGTCACTTTTGACACTAATAAGCTCTTACTCTTTAAGACATAACAACACATACACACACTCACACACACCGAGACAGATGCAGACGCAGCTGCAATGGAGCGTCGCTATAGTAACTGCCTGAATTTGATTTCCCAATCTACCCAACAGAGGCCATTCCATCAAAGTGACTCGCTCCCATTGACTGTTGCCATGGAGATCTATTACACAGACACACATACGTTCACTTTTCGAACCCCTTGACACCTTCAATCACCACCTGAATCTCAGTCGATTTCATTAAAGCAGATAAACTGATAAAGTCAGGTGCTCAGAGATGCAGCATCAGTGAACACACACACACACACACACACACGAATCTAAAGCGTTTCTAAAGTAGAGCATCAAACAGACGGTCCGTCAAGAAGGATTTCTGACTTATTCGCGCATAAAACACACACAGACATGTGCTATCATACATGACTGGACAGACACACAGTTGCTGTCACATGCACACACTTTTGACATATGTGATTCCAAGTTTCACTTGATACACACATTTATTTCAATCACGGTCAAACCAGAACACTTTTCCAAAATAAAATGAAATGAATGATTGAGCGATGAGCGTCTCCGTCTTTCAGTGAAACTGCATCTGTGAAAACATTAATCAGACACATTCTGATAAATAAAACTATACATAGATAAAACTAAAGAAAGATAGATAGAAAAAAAACAATAGAGAAAGATAGATCGAATGATAAAATGATTGAACGATAGATAGAGAGATAGATAGAACGATAGATGGAACAATAGAACGACAGACAGAGATGGATGGATAGATAGATAGATAGATATATAGATAGACAGACAGACTGACTGACAAATAGAAAGGATAGATAGACTAAACATAGATATAAAGAACAATATAGATATAGATAGAATGATTGAACAACGCTATATAATGATAGATAAACGACACAGATAGATAGAAAATACAATATCAAGATATAATGATAAATATAATGACAGACACACAGACAGACGATGATAGATAGATAGATAGATAGATAGATAGATAGATAGATAGATAGATAGATAGATAGATAGATAGATAGATAGATAGATAGATAGATAGATAGATAGATAGATAGATAGATAGATAGATAGATAGATAGATAGATAGATAGAAAGACAGACAGACAGACAGATAGAAAACCGAGATAGATAGATAGATAGATAGATAGATAGATAGATAGATAGATAGATAGATAGATAGATAGATAGATAGATAGATAGATAGATAGATAGATAGATAGAAAACCGATGGATGGATGGGTGGATAGAATGATAATAGAAAATAGAAATAAAACAGCAGACAGATAGATGATAGACAGATAAATAGATAGATAGATATACTAAAGATAGATAGAAAGAACAATATAGATAGAATGAAAGAATGATAAATAGAACAGCAGACAGACAGATGGATAGATAATAAATAGATAGATATTACCATCTACAGTATCAAATTGAAGTCTCCATACTTTAGAACTGCACCGATCACAAAAACAAGACGACACATTATGAATTTGCTGCTCATATTTTCACTAGTAAGTTTTTATTAACTCTCCAATTACATTTTCTTATTTACCTCTGTGTATTGATTGACAGGTGTTAATTTTGCCCAGCAGGAGACGTCTTTCAAACTCTCCATCTCTACTGTAGACCTGTGTGCATTTCAGACCTGTTTTTGCTCTTTCCCCCCCTTTCTCACTCTAACACTTTTAATATATTCATTTCAAGTCTAAATATGTTCTTTCTTAAAACCACCAAAACATCCTGTTCTTTTATTAGGCCCCCTGTTGTCCTCGCGTCCTCAGATAAAAACACCACAAACACACCATAAAATGGGCGAACAAAGCGAGGGCGAGTAGGTCTGTGTGCACACTGAGAAACGGAGGGAGAGGAAGAAAGACACGGAGATTAGAAGGGAGGAAACAGGGGCTGATATTGAGGGAAAATAGGAGAGGGCGTGAAAGGGAATAATCCAAAAAACAAAAAACAAAACAAAGAAACACACACACACACACTCAGATAGAAAGGCCCACAGGAGTTTCTGCTCACCTGTGATGCTCTCATGCAGAATGGAGACAATGGTGTGATTAGAAACAAACTTGTGTTTACTGCTCAGCGCGTTCACATGCGTGCGGGTGGTGAACCCACAAACACACACACACACATTGTGCCATTACGTCCCTCTGATGGTGGGAAGCCTCTATCTCTTGTGTGAACTTAATTAGCTCTGAATCCATTAGACACAGCCACATAGACAATTCCTTCCTCCATTCTCCTGTCACCCGCATCCAATTAAACTGGTGCTAAAACACAATGGCGTATTCCTCACTTGAGACAGTCCGGCCCGATGGGCTGGCTACCAAACGCCAGCAGAGCTAGTGCTCGGACATTTTGTGTTTAGAGCAAATTTGACAAAAGTTTTGCTTTTTAGAACATGTACATGTTAAATTTGTTGGTTTTTGTTGTTTTGTACAGAATTTTTTATTTACAGACACTATAGACTGACAGAAAGAAAGAGGATGGATGGATGGATGGATAAAACGACATACGGATGGATGGATGGATGGATACAGTAGATAGAAAGAAAGAAAGATGATAGATAGATAGATAGATAGATAGATAGATAGATAGACAGACAGACATATGGATGGATGGATGATGGATGGGTAGATAGACATACAGATGGATGGATGGATGGATGGCTGGATGGATGGATAGATAGATACAGTAGATAGAAAGAAAGAAAGATGATAGATAGATAGATGGATAGATAGATAAACATACAGATGGATGGATGGATGGCTGGCTGGATGGATAGATAGATACAGTAGATAGAAAGAAAGAAAGAAAGAAAGAAAGAAAGAAAGAAAGAAAGAAAGAAAGAAAGAAAGAAAGAAAGATGGATAGATAGATGGATGGATGGATAGACATATGGATGGATAGATAGACATACGGATGGATGGATGGAAGGATGGATAGAGCCTTAGGAACGATTCCTGCATACGGTAAAAATTTTAATCATCGGCAATATATATATATATATATATATATATATATATATATATATATATATATATATCTCAATATATAAAATGTTTCACAATACAATATGGTTCCATAAATGGCAAAAAATTGCCTTTCTGTCATGCTTTTCTAGAGGATCACCTGAGATTATTGCTATTTTTGCAGACGGTAAAGCAAGAGTTAACTTTCACAGCTGATTTTCTAGTCTGTGAAGCATTACACTGAATGAAAGATGGAAAGAATGAAGGAGAGAGAGAGAGAGAGAGAGAGAGAGAGAGAGAGAGAGAGAGAGAGAGAGAGAGAGAGAGAGAGAGAGAGAGAGAGAGAGAGAGAGAGATTATAGGAGGGAGCTTTTGGTGTGGGTTTGAAAGAGCAGAAAACAGGGCATTCAAGAGACTGACAATCAAGACGGAGTCAGAGTCTCTTACACAAGGATCAATATCATAAAGAGCACTCAGACAGAGAGATATATTGCTCCAATGTACATGGAGTCTGTAGTAGAGATACATATATGAATACTTCATTTAGTCTGTAAATGCACATATACAGCAAAACACCATTCATTATTATATATCAAACATTCTCATGCAAAAGCCCTTCAGAAAGTTCTATCATTTCTTCACCCGCATGCCATCTACACAACTACACTAGACATCGACTAATGCATGTGTGTGTGTGTGTGTGTGTGTGTGTGTGTGTGTGTGAGCGAGAGTTCAAGACAGAAGAATCCTGAATCACATTCCTGATACTGAAGAGGGAGGGAGGGGATCAAATATAGAGAAGAAGAGAGAGAAGGGTGGAATAAAGACCTCCTTATCCCCTCATCCCGACGTCCTCATCATACATCCACAGAAACAAGACAACTATTCATCGTATTTTTGATCTCCAACATTTAGATTTATGGACTCCATCACTTCTTTTCACTTTTGTTTTCACTCATTCCTCTTTCCTTTCCATTATTTATCAGTCTTCACATTATCCTCCTCCATCTTATCTCTATTTAAAAATGTACTTAAAATGAAATTTCTGTCATTATTTACTCACTTATATGCTTTTATATTTTTTTGTGGAACATGCAAGGAGTATTTTCACACTCCTCTTTTACAGTTCTTGGTCAAGCTTCATGTCTGTCAAGCTCCGCAAAAAAAAAAAAAGCCCTATAAAAGTTATTCACATGACTTGTGCAATATAATCATCAGTAATCAATAATTAATCAGTCAAAATCTGCTAAGGGGGTAATACAATAATGGAACAACAGTTTAAAAAGTGATTTTTCACTATTATTTACAACAGGATCTACATTTTCATGGGTTTAAATAAAATATTTGTGTTATAGAGACAATAAACCCCCCTCTTTTCCTGGTAAAAATTGAACTTGATTTTCACCTTTGTTGCCATTGGCTTTTGGCTTGCTTAGTTGGGGACATTAAATTTAACATTTAAAGGGATACTTCACCTCTGGAAAGATGAATGTGTATTTAAAATGGGTCATTTATGTAGAAGAAATGTCAAATTATTTTTGAATTTGGAGCTTTCTAGACCGAGAAAAGACAGAAAATGTATTTTTGGCTTATGTGGATGAAAGATAACAACTCCCAGAATGCACTTGCTTCGCTGCCCTAGGAGGCCACGCCTACCGGTAACAGAGCGCAGAAGTTAAACAACAAGTCTAGGCTACTAGTGAGTCTCCGTGATGAGTCTGCCCAAAAATGTGTTTCGAGATCGCCCAAAATGTCCGGGATTCGGCTTTTGCGTTCTACGGTCGCCATTCATCGTGTTTACTGTGGCG